AAGCAATCTAGGAGTAGCACCAATTTCACAAAGGCTTATCGAAAGCAGGATCCATTGGTTCGATCATATGAAAAGAAGACCACCGAGCAAGTTGGAAATGTGGCCCAAGCACAGATTCTACCTCAGGGAAGAAAACAGGGGAATGCCAAAGAAAAGGTGGCGCGATGTAGTCAAGAACGATATGAAAGTGCGAGGAGTCTCTGAAGATCTAACCAACCACAGAAATGTTTCGAGGAGTTTGTCTCGATTTGCAGTCCCCCTTTAAAGGGAACGTGTTAGGAAAAAGAAGAAGAATGAGTTAATTAATCTCTGGTCAGGCCGATGTACAGAAATGAGTCAATGACTAACACTCATTTTTTACAGTAATGAATTTTCATTCACTAAGGCAGAACTGGTGTAAACCCAAAGGTAAAAAATAACGCGTTTACGTTAAACAGCCGTATCACTGGTGCTACGTCATGTACTTTGCTTCAGCAGCACCTTTGAGTTAACTTGTGGACATGTCCATATACTAGTGTATCGAGTATTCATGTTGCCTGAACCACAAACCTCAAGCCTGTTTGCGGACTCACCCAATTCAATGGTGCTGTCCTGCATACACATACTATCGTTGTTCCCTAGGCGTTTAGAAGGGACGGGGTGATTCAACATTACCGCAAAAGCTGGTTTACAAAGACGAACACCTCGATACTATTAGCGTAAATCCCCGGCGTTGGTGTAAGCTAAAATGCTAAAAGAGACGCCAGACATATAATGAATAAATTAGTTTCTAACTATGTGAATAAATTCCACTGCGCCAGTAATGCAATAATCACTATTCTTCAACGTACTTAATTTTCGACCGCTGACGTAACGAAAAACAACCTACTTTTAATGAAAAATTCCACGCCGCTTCTGAGGTTCATCGGCTCCTTAAAACAAATCAGCCAGGTAACGTACGCCTTGACGGCGGCGTGCCGACAGGGAAGGGCTCTCTAGAAAACGAGCGGAGGTTAAAGATACGTGAAAGACGCAAAATTCATCAGAAGCAAGTCTTAAAGCCGCTCATTAACTAAACTTTGACTAAATCAAGGTGCCTTCATTAATAACTGAGAGAAATGTAAGTGACAAGACTACGACCATGCAAAATTACATTTTGCTTCTAAAATTTAGTCAATACAAGTCATGACTTTAAAGGATCGTATGATGATGAACAAACAACCAATTTCCTCAATGTAATTGGCCTGTTTGCAAAACGTACGCATATTATTTAAAGAACTATTTCTCAGTTCGTGCAAGGTCTGCTTGCTGGATCACGTTTCAGGTGCCCAAGTTCGATAATGAACTTGACTGACAATCATGCCTCCTGCCATATATGGACGTAAAATGAAAATAGAGCTATCACGAGGAGGAACAACAGGTGCGCAGTGGATCATAACGTCCGCTCTGTCTTTCCAAATAAAACGAAAAGCAAAAATACGCCTGTTGACCTGATGGTAAAATTATCGGGTCATCGAGGGAGGCAGAAAACAGAGAGAACAGAGCAGATCAGAGAACCATCGATGAAAGATTAAGATGATTTCTAAGGATGCAGTTAGTCAGTCTTTTGGCAGCCATGTTTGGCGTGCATCAGCGCAAATCTGAATATTTGGCCAAAATGGTAAAAAATCACAGCTAAGGACAAAGTGAAGCGCACTGGAAACAATCGCACGCATACAACGTAAAGAAGGCTATCAATGACAAAAGTAGCGCTGTTCAAGTATTGCATCATCAGAGCTAGACGATGAAGCAAAACAACTAAAACGGCCTCATAATACCACCTACCACGTTGAGGATTTCCTCCTTGATCATCGGTACGAAGCTGCTACAAATGGCGTCTTCAGGAAGGCAACTGTTGAGGCAGACTAAGGCGTTGAGGTACTGCTCATGGCAACGCCAGTTGCTTGCGTTTCGAATCAGACGATTGCAGGCGAGCAAAATTCGCGTCAGCTGTGAACGACTGGTATTCTGCAAAGACGGGCAATAATTTGCCATAAGAGGGATCGTTCATTTGTCATACCAACAGGAGAACCTCGTTGGTATCCTTCGGATGCTTGTAGTCCTTGTACAAGTGCTTCAGCGTTTGCCCCAAGTGACCGGTTAAGCCGGCAATAACCTATAATTCACTTTCGTAGTGTCCAAGCACAAAAGACATCCTGCGTTAACGAAGAAGTAAACATAAAGGATCTTTCAGCTAGTCGGAAACTTATCCCAAATGATGCAGTTTTTATGACTCAATCTCCAGTTATAACAAGTTTGAAATGTTTCTATCTCCGTCCCCCACCTCCTTTTGCTGTAGCCTAAAGTTTTGATCTTCTCCGTCTCCATCCGAGTTGATCTCTTGTGCTTATCACTCTTCCATGCTCAATTTTTCTTTGTTACATCGTATTTTTTGCTAAACATCTTTTATTATTTACCTGCTGATAATTTTCTCATGAACTAAGATACCTCCCTCGTAGATTATTAATTTGTACTGAGAAAAAGAACCCCGTATCAGGTTCTGGAAGCTCCGCTTCATATTTTCTTTCAGCTTTCTGCCCGTGTCATTATTTTTCTATCATGTTTGCAAAAGTGTATGTTCTAGGCAGCTGACAGATATGGTAAAAAAGGCTGCTCTTTTTCACTTCTAAATATTATTCTTTGCTTCAAGGGTATGCAGCATGATGGAAACGTTCAGACGTGTTCTTCAGAGAGAGAGAGATACGGAGATAGCGTTTCTGCAATCACAAAGCTGACAAGTCCGTTTTAAGTAGAAGTTCATCTAATAATAACTAGATAAACTTCAGATCACATTGAAAACCATAAGTAACAAACGCATAGGAGGAGAAAAGTATGCAATGTCTCATATTCAGTAAACTTTACCTCTGACCTTGTCAATATTTAAGAAAACGTGCTATGACATGACTCACAAGAGATGAGGAAAATAAAGTAC